AGCAGACCAAAGGGAAATGAAGAAGCCCCAATAAATCACCATGAAGCCACCAGCCACTAATAGGCGAGCGGCAGTGGGAACCCCAGCATTGGTGCTTGCAGACACCCCCTCTGGCTGCCCACTTAATGGCATAGCAGGGCTGCAGACTCATCATGCTGGGCGCCCAGCCCACATCATGGCAGGAATAAGACCCCAGGGGCTGCCCCTGCTGGCCTGCTGGACTTGGGCTGCCCTGCCTGCCAAGCAATGCCCCCTCAGTGGAGCTGGGCTGCGCCAGACGGGAAGGGAAGAGGATACAGGGCAGTTGGGTGTAGAGAAAGTACTGGGAGATGTGAAATGTTTATATAAAAGCGGATGACACTGCACCCATTTTACAGATAAGCAGCCAGAAGCTCAGCAGTGAAGAGGCTTGGCTGGGGTGACACACCTAGGAAGAGAAAGGCTCTGATTGGAAAGCTCAGACTCTGTCTCCTACCGCCCCCCAAGGTCCTTCTTTAGTGTTCCTTGGGGTTCCCTGCCCCACAGGGGGCCTAGGATTCCAGGGGTCCTGCATTCAAGGTAGAGACTCTGGGCCTTAGGCTCCCCTGCGCAGTAAGGAACCGGACTTAGTCACTATGTGTAACCTCGCCCTAGCTGAAGAGTTGCTTGAAGCTTTCAATCTGACCTGCACAGAGTACTTCACATTCGACTCACCCATCTCCTATAAAGATTATAGCCTAGAAAACCCGATGGGGCAAGTTCTCCTCTATCATATAGGGTTGCTGTGAGTTAGAATCTACTCAACTGGCACCTAGCAAACAACTCTCATCCAAACTGTGGACCCTTCTACCCTACTGTTTTGGCCACAGCTTCAGTGTAAGGTCCCTCCCGAGCCGGCTCACTCCTTCACTCATTTGCTCAGCAAAACGGAGCTTATGGAGTGCCCTCAGCATGGCGCAATACTGGCCAAGGCGGGCAAGGTCCTACCTTCATGGTGCTCCCAGCCCGATGGAGAAGTCAGGCCTGGATCATGGAACAGAGTAGGGTGCAGAGACTAAGCAGACACAGGAACTAGGGGCCCTAATCCAGCCCAGGGGTGTGGCAACCAGGGGAATTGGTTGCTTCCAAGCAGAGAATCACAGAATGAGTAGGAACCAGGTAGAAAAAGCATTTCCAGAGAAAGGAATAGCTTGGGTCAGAGGGGAGGTGGGGCAGACAGGACTCTGGGCCCTCTCCAGCTGGTGTCACATTCCCCCCCCCCAAGTCTCTCATTTCTGTCCCTGCCACGCTAAGGGGCCACCCAGACACCCCCCACACCAGGCTCCATCTTTACTTTGTCTCTGTCTCTGGTCACCTCCTCCCTCTTCTCATGGTCGTGCTGTCCAGTGTGCTATTCTGCTCCTGGACACTGCTGCTTCCTGCTCCCCAGTTTCCTGCCAGGACAGGGCCCAGCACCTCTGCAAACTGCCTCCCCATCACTTTCTGGGCCCAGATTTATCCCCAAGCCCCCAGTCTGGTGGCCGCCTCCCCAGTGTCCCAGCCAGAGGTCTGGCCTCTCCAGGCTATGAAGGGCTTGGGCGTCTGCACTGATACTAGGAAGACGGGCAGCGGGGCTTTTGCGGCCTTGAGGGCTCCCATTTCCCTGGCTCTGGGAGGCAGAGGGAGAAAAGCTGCCTTTGCCCGAGTCTGGGTCTCTGCGTGTCCCTCTATACCTCTCTTTCTCGGTCTCTCCTTCTTGTCTCAGTTTTCTTCTCCATCTCTGCCTATCTCTCCAGGTCTCTCTCCTCGTCACTCTCTCCCTTCTGATCTCGGGCTCCGCTTCTCCCCGGCCCTCTCCCTCCAGAGGGTCCCCCCTCCCCCGCCGGGCGGGGGAAATCGCTCCGTAAATAGGCGGATGGCCCCGGGCGCTCAGGGCGCAGACACTCGTTTTTAGAGCCGGTAATTGACTCCTTTCAGTTGATAATTCATGGCTTGCATATGCGCTTTAATGCGGGCGCCCGGGGAGGCGCGGCGGGCGGGGCGGCCCAGAGCTCAGTGCACGCGGCCGAGTGGCCGGGGAGCGAGCCGGCCTCTGGCCTGATTCCTATTGGGGCTGTTGGGCCGTCTTCCTCCGGGGTTCCGTCTGTTCGACCCAACAGAGACCAGGTCAGGGTGGCGGAATCGGGAGGTGCAGTGGGTGGGATCAGGGGCGTTGGGAGGGTAGGGAGCGCAGGGACAATCTTTAAATTGAGCCCCCCCCCCCATTGCCTAGGGGCAATCTCTAAATTGTGCCCCCTCCCCAATTTCTAGATGAATAGGCATTGGTCGCGGCGACGCGTCAGCAGAAATGCTTCCCGCCTTTTATCCAACTGCTCAGTCAGGTGCCTTTCATTTTTGTGGCGCCTCGGGATGTCATTCCGCGCCTCCTCTGGCGCCCCCTTCGACTTGCGCCCGGGGCAAGTGCACCCCCCGCCCCCACCCGCTCCAGGTGGGATGGAAAGGCCTAGACAGCCCCTGGACGCGCGGGGGCGACGCAGCTCTGACTGGCCGAGCCTTCGGACTGAATGGGCACCGGACACCATCTCCGTCCTTTACCCCTCTCCCCCTTAGAGACCCCAAAGGGAAACTGAGTCCCAGAATGGGGATAGGTTTTCCCAGCGTCTCACAGCGCAGAACCCAAACCAGAACTCAAGGCACTCTCTCCCCAAAGGATCCTAGCCAGCAGGCGCCATCCCAGTCTTTGTAGAACTGCCCCTCATTTAGGGAATTTCTTCCAGTTTCTAAGCTAAATTCCTGGGCTGGAGTGACTGAATCTGTACAGGAGGTGGGAGTGGAACACAAGTCCCCTCCCATCTGTTTCTTCATCTTCTGTGTGTCTGTTTCAGGCTGTGGCTGTGGCAGATGTAATAATAAGTCCCGTCTTACAGATGAAGAAACCGAGGCTTAGGGAAGTTGGGAAGCTTGCCAAAGTCAGAGAGGAGGTAAAGCTAGAACCTGGATCTGTGTGTGTGTGTGGGGGGGGGGGGGGGGGGGGGGGGGAAGAGGAAGAGAGAGAGAGAGAGAGAGAGATAAAATGGGAAGGGGAAGAGGTTGGTGAGGGGCTCTGAGTCACAGGAGCCACACTGAGTGATTTCAGCTGAAAATGGTGCTGGTCAGGAACAGAGATACTACAGGAACTGGACCTCGAGGTGGGGGAGAAGAGGGTTGCTGATTCCAAGCACCAGCTCAAGAGAAACCAGCCTAGAGGGACATCTGGCCCCAGGATGGGGCTTATCATTTATTCAGCCTGGTAGACTAGTATCTGCCACCCCCTTTTCCCAGGCTAATTTTAGCCAAAACTGGAATTCTGTCCACACCTCTTAAAATAAGCAAATATTTAACTCAAAGCTAGAGCATCTGGCATATTCTTGTGTCCCCCATCTCTGTCTCCCTGTCTGCTTGTTTCTTTCATATGTGAAACGGAGTTTGGACTAAGGGATTTAACTGGTGAAGCTTTGATGACCAGTGGCTCTGAGGGTGGATGCATTGGACAGCTAAGCTGCATGAAGTTCAATGCTGCCCTCTGGTGTCCAGAATTTTGCAGCTGGTGGGATGCAGAAAGAGGAGGCAGTACTTGAGAAAACCTCTCCACTCCCACCTTCCTCAAGCCCCTCAGGCTTCTATCTTATGGGGGAGAGAGGGCAGGGCATGGACTCTACAAACCCTGTCTCAAAGGAAACCACTGGACTCCTCTAGGAAAGATCTTAGACTTTGTGGTAGAGCCAGGAGAGTGAACACAATGAGGTCAGCAATAGCCCTGTCCAACCCTCTCCTGAACACCCCAAATGGTTCCTTCCAGTGCAGGCTGAGTCCAGTCTGCCCCTCTGATATGATTCCTCGGGCCTTTGTTTTAGTTAAACTCAGATATTTTTCTGCCTGAAAATCCACCATTTGGGTTCAGAGGAGATACTCAATATAGGATGGATGGAAGGGATGAATTCCATTCCTTTGCATTGAGATGATACCTTCAGAAAGTCTGTGCTATGAAGCACAAAAAGGAATGAGTTCATTAGTTTGCCTAGTTGGCTGGAAGTAGGACTGCAGGGAAATAGGATAGAGGAAATGAGAAGTTTTGATGTGGGAGGACCTCTAGAGAGTTCAGATGAAGGGAAGGTCTTTGAGGAGTAGAGGCATCAAGGAAGGCTTCTTGGAGGAAGTGACTTTTGACATAGGGCTTAAAGGGTGGAGAAACAGTGAAGATGTTCAGGTGGAGGGAGTGGCATAAACAAAGGTACAGAGGTAGAAAAAACAGATGCACTTGCACTGGCAAGAAGACTCCAGTTTCAGGGAATGGAGGAAGGTGGTACCATGGGGGTAGTGGAAAAGGATCTTGGGAAGGTGCTAAATCCAGGCTGAGAAATGAACATTTCATGGGAAAAGCACTAGATTGTGAGCCAGGGGTCTGAGTCTTATTCCAGGGTCTTATCTAACTGAGTTTCACTCCCTTAGCCTTGCTCTCTGAAACTTTCTCTAGACAATAGTAGCAGCCATGACACACTCTTAATCATGGCAGTACCTACTCATAGCTTACACAATGGTCAAGCTGCCAGGTACCATGGACCTTTCTGAGTCTAATCCTCTCAATTTGCAGATGAAAGAACTGAGGCCCAGACAGAGACCTCAGCAAGCCAGTGACAGAGCCAGGACTTGGACCCAGGTCTTTTACCTCTCAGTTTGGGGCTCTTACCCCTCTGCTACAATCTGGGGGTAGCATCTGGAGGACTGAGCTGGAGGAGATCAGCTGGAGGCAGAAGACCACCAAGAGGCCTTTCCTCAGACTATAGATCACAAGGTTGTCCAGTCAGAAAGTTTATTGAGCACCCCTCACCCCGCTCTCCATCTTGGGCCAATCTGGAGAGTCCACATATTGAATACCCACACAGAAGGAACACAAGGAAAAGAAATCTGGTGGGCTTTTGGGAGGAAGAGACAGGAAAAGGAAGGCACATCAGTAGTAGACTTGAATGAGGATCTAGAAGGGCCCCTCCAGGAGGAGAGGCCTATCACTTGGATCCCTGATGGTTCTTGGCCAAGGTCTCCACCTCCTTCATGAACCGGAGACATAGCTCTTCTTCCCATGGTAATGCTATACACTGCACAGCCACCGGAAGTCCCACGGATCCTGCCACCGCCTATTGAGAGTGAGAGAGAGTCAGTACCTGCTTCCTGCTCAGAGGCCCCTTACCTCACTCTCCTCACCACCCATGCTGCTCTAGGCTGGCCTAGGCTATGCATCAGTACAAATATCTCACTCCCAATCTGCATTAAGGTAGAGATGTCCTGGACCTCAGAGTTCCAGGCATCCTCAGCTCTCAGTGAAATCTAGAAAGACTGTTCTGACTTTATTTGTCTATTCTTCAGGGTTAAGGTAAAAACTTGGTCCCCATGCAGAGAGCTGACTCTGTAATGATGAAATATAAAACCGAATATCCACCCAATGTTCTCAGCAAGGGAAAGGATGTGCAGATCTTGAGCCTGGAGCTAGTGTCCTGATGTCCTGATTCAGAATTGGTTATACTTCTGCAGAAAGAAGTAATCCCTGTGCCTTGACCCCAAACATAGACCCAGGAACATGGAGATGGAGGCTGAGTCCCTGCCATGAAATACAAATATACTTGTAGGAATTCAAATTTGTTTTCATTGCTTTATGATGATATCATATGAGCCCTTATTTTTGCCCCTGCCTCTGGAGCCAGACCACCTGACTCTAAGTCCTGGCTCTTCTACTTGAACTGTCTGTGTGGCTTTGGTCAAGTCCCTTAACCTCTCTGGGACTCTGTTTCCTCATTTATAAAATGAGGGTAACCTACTTCATAAGACAGTTGTGGAATTTAAAAAAATATATATGTTGTTATGTTTCACTGAGTTGGACCTGACTCATAGTGACCCCTCCTTGGGTTTCCGAGGCGGTAGCACTACAGAAGTAGATTGCCCAACCTTCCTTCCAAGGAATGGCTGATGGGTTTGAACCGCCAGTCTTCTGGTTAGCGGTCAAGTGCCTTAGGCACTATGCTACCAGAGCTCATATACGTATATATGATATGTATGTTGTTGTTAGGTGCCGTCAGTCATTTCCCACTCATAGCAACCCCAGCAGAATGAACCACCACCCGATCCTGCACCAGCTCCATGATCATTGCTATACTTGAGCCCATTGTCACAGCCACTGTGTCAATCCATCTCGTTGAAGGCCTTCCCCTCTTTTGTCGACCCTCCACCTTACCAAGCGTGCATGACATCCTTCTCCAGGGAACGGTCCCTTCTGACAACATTACCAAAGTAGGTGAGACGAAGTCTGGCCATTCTCTCTTCCAAAGAGCACTCTGGCTGCACTTCCTCCAGGACAGACCTGTTAGTTCTTTCAGCAGCCCACGGTACTTTCAGCATTCTTCACCAGCACCACAACTCAAAAGCCTTCTTCTTCGGTCTTCCTTATTCATTGTCCAGCTCTCACAGGCATACGAGGCAATTGAAAATGTCATGGCTTGTGTCAGGCACACCTTAGTCCTCAAGGAGACATCCTTGCTCCTGAGCACTTGAAAGAGTTCCTTTGCGGCTGACCTGCCCAGTGCTGCATGTCATCTAATGTCCTGACTGCTGCTTCCATTGCCATCGATTATAGAACCAAGCAATGTGAATTCTTTGCCAACCTCAATCTTTTCTCCATTTATCATGATGCTGCTTATTGGTTCAGTTGTAAGGATTTTTGTTTTCTTTACATTGAAACGTAATCCATACTGCAGATGGTATTCTTCAGTCTTCCTCAGTAAGTGCCTCACGTCATCCTCACTTTTGGCAAGCAAAGTTGTATCATCAGCGTATCTCAGGTTGTTAATGATTCTTCCTCCAATCCTGATGCCATGTTTTTCTTCATATAGTCCAGCTTCTCGGATTAT